TTTTAATTAATAGGTCTTGCGGAATAAAGTGCCTGTAACTTTATGATGTATAATGTAGAAAATTACTGGTATCATCTGTCAGCTTTTTCTTTGAGCAGCATTTTCAAGACAAATAAAAAGTATAAGGTCCTGCTATTTTTGCAAACAAGTACATTTCCCCAATAAACCCTCAGGATGAGGTGCGATATATATTGCCCTCCACGTGTGAATAATGAACTAGTTTTAAGCTAACAGCGCTCCTTGTCAGTACATCAAATTGTTTTGTGCAGTTTATAAGCTTTTTATCAATTTAGAGTTTGAAGTAGTATTTTGTTAACCTTTTATTTATAGTTTTGGAGATGTTTTATGGTAAGCTATTCAGGATGGTTGTAGGATTTTATTTACATGTTATTTGTTCTAAAATCAGTGATTATACAAGATAATTTTTAAAACTGGTTAAAACTGGTCGGAAGCCACCATGAAATCATGCTTGACTTGTGACATTGGAAAATAGCATAATTGAGGTTATAGGGTGAAATATCTAAGATCTAAGAGACAGTTGATGACTTTTTGTTGACAATTCAAATGAAGGCTGGGCTAGCATCTGATTTTGACATGATCTTCAATGCTAATTCTCTTTGTTTTAATAAATTGTCTCAAGGTCCTAAATAAAAATGAATACACAATGCACTAAAAGCTTTGTGTGTACATAGCGTATACATAATGTGCCACATCATCTGCATACACACACTATACAGTAGCTAGTGTACAACTGTGTGATAGAATCACAGTTGCCTGATATTGTGAATTGAAAAGTAAATGGAAAACTCAGATAGTTATGACAAAATAGCGATCACTTGCATATTAGAATTGATCGCTGATTATAAAAAACATTTTTAATTAGACAATTTTCGAAACAACACTTGACCCTGCATGGATAAGTTTTTCTGTTTTATAGTTTCACACTTCTTAGAGTGATGAGTGATGTGATTTGAGCAACAAAAAATACTTTAATATGGGTATCGGTATTTATGTTACAGGTCTGGATTCATATTGGCCAGGTCTCCCAAGTAACAAACAAAAATCTTTAGATTTACCTGAGAATATGTTTTTGTTTACAAAATGATAGAAAAAAGAGAGTAATACTGAAGTAATGACATTAAAATTTCCTGTCTGATAGTCTGATATATTGTATATATAATGAGTGTCTCTACAAAAAGGCTGGGCGCCTTGTAAACCATTCACTTTTTAATCATTTGTGTATTTAACTATTCAGTTGTATCTGATAGATCAAAGTGTCCAACTTATATATCTACATCTCAATTATGAAATATTTAGTTGTTCTCTCATATACTTAGAAAATAAATAAACCCTATTCCACATTTATCTATAAGCAATTCTAAAATTTATCTGTGTTATAGGACCATACAACATGCACACAGATGTGCGATAGCTTATTTTGTCCAGCTCTCCTTTCATGTGCACATCATGCAGACATCGTTCACACATCTTGTGACGTTGTGTGATCCAACAACAGTATATATTGTTAGAAAATAAATGACTTCACAGCCTGCTAATTGTTTAAATTCACCCTTGAAATTACAAATGGAATTAAAAGTACCATTTCTAACAGATTGCACATTTACAAAGATAGTTGTTTGCTTAATAAGATTATTCACAGAGCTTAGTTTCCACATGATCTGTCTTTAAACAGGTAGAGGGAAACACAACAGTAAAATAAGAAAGTGTAAATTTCAGTCATACTATTTAGTGGCTAGGACAAGGGTATATGGAAGGAAAATAGTTGAAAGGTTTAATATTGTACTGGTAGATGGTTAAGTAAATAAAAAAGCAACATTTTTACAAACTTCAAGCACTTGTGACCTTTTCCATGGAAAAAATGGTGGTACATCTAAAGGAACGGGCGTGCATATTAGTTGAGATATGGTATATGAAAAAAGTTATACACACAGAGAATTAAATGAATGTGTTTAGAATGAATGCATATAAGATTTTTTTTAAGATTCAAATCGCACTATGTCTGTTGTCTGTCAGTCAGTAAACAATTTTTGTTATCACTATATCTTGAGAAGTAGATCTTTCTCAAATTTCATATGTAGGTTCCCCTGGGTCCCTTGTTTTACCCATTTGATTTTGGGACTGATCAGAAAATCAAAATGGCTGACAGGCAGCCGTCATGGATTTTTTCAATTAAGTTTGTTATCGTTATTTCTTGATAAGTATGGATGGATCTTTCTCAAATGTTATATGTAGGTTCCCTTTGGTCTCTTGTTGTGCTCATCAAATTTTGGAACTGATCAGTAAAACAAAATGGCCTACAGGTGGCCATCTTGGATTTTGACTATGCAAGTTTGTTATCGCTATTTCTTGAGAACTGCAGCATAGATCTTTCTCAGATTTCATGTGTATGTTTCTCTTGATCCCTGTTTGATTTTGGTACTGACAAGATAAAGAAAATAGCCTACAGACAGTCATCTTGGATTTTGACTTTGAAAGATTGCTATCACTATTTCTTAAGTACTGAATGGATCTCTCTCAAATTTCATACAGATGTTTCCTTTGGTCTCTATTTGTGCCTGTTTGATTTTGGGACTGATCAGAAAAAGCAAAATGGCCTTCATACAACCATTTCGGATTTGGCAGGTAAAGATCCCCCCTCCCCACAAAGGGATGTTCAAATTTTTAATCATAATGAGCAAAAACAGAGAAGAGAAGAGAAAAGAAAGGAAAAGATCAAGCTTTGAAAGAGCAAATAAAGATCAAACAATGGTGGGCGCCAAGATCCCTTTGGGATCTCTTGTTGCTCTTAAGACTTCTTCTTTAAATGACCTTTGTGTGATATGTGTTAATTCTTAAACTATAACAAAAAAAACAAACTTTTAAAACTTTTAATAAATGTTAAGTTATTCAATGTGATGTGGTGGAGACACATTCATATTTATATATTCATTCACAGGTATGTTTTAATATGGCGCAGATTTATATTGTTTGTCAGATTTTGTCTCAAAGAGCATAATGCCTACTTCTAGAGTTACAGGAGATACAAAAGAAAACACACTCCGCTATAAACAGCTGTATGAAATGCTGTTATGGTCGGTCCACAACTAATTATGCACCCTTTTGCATTGTTTCTATTGAATATTCTGTACTTTAGTATTAGGAACAATTAAAGATAAACATATACACAAAAAAAAAGTAAAAAATAATTACCCATCATCAGTATGATTCTCAATGTCACGGTTGACGCTGCAGCAATGTGGCTCTGCAAGCCAGCTGGAACCATTTGGATGTGTGTCTTACATCCATGAAACACATTATTTGTCAGAATTTCAGTATTAGTGTAAATTGCCCAACAGTTCATCGTCATCTGAATTTGTTTCAACCTCACCGAATCCATCCTCAGCCATTATACACAGGTGTATTCGTTAATTGACAAAGGGCTTATCTGCATTGTCAATTATGATTGATGTTCAAGTGGATGACAGAAGTGACAATATTTCGTTGTTCACACAAAAACTCTTTTACTACATAAACTTCTTATTTGTTGCATCTTTGAACGTTTCAAAAACATTCTATGTAGTGCAGTAATTTATTTTCAGGAAAAACAAGCGCCAGTTGAGGTGTTCCCCTGAACAAGATAGAATCACTACATACACAAAAATCTTGTACCAAATGTCACATGAATCTTGAAGTTTTCATAACCTTATGAAATTTTTTTTCTGGTATGCATGTTATGGGTGGCAGAGCAAATGTCAATATAAGCAAATGAAAGCATCCCCAGAACACTGGAGACTGAAGCTAAAATGAGAATGTGATAATACTATATAGAGTTTTCAATTACTACAGGGATCTCTAAAATTACAAGCCTTGACAAACTCTCTTTGTCAAATCTAAAATAAATTACAATGTACTAAAATATTCCATTGGTTTTAAGGTAATGCAAAAAATAGAGAGAGATTTCAGGCCTTCCTACCTGAATAACACCGAGGTAATGCAAAAAGATAATTTACTGTTTCACTCGCTGAATAATCATATTGGTATCAATTGTGTTTATTTGATGTATATGAATATGTTGATAAGTCTATATGATTCCTGCTTTTTAGATCACAGGTGTTAAATGTTTTAAAAATAGAGAGAGATTTCAGGCCTTCCTACCTGAATAACACCGAGGTAATGCAAAAAGATAATTTACTGTTTCACTTGCTGAATAATCATATTGGTATCAATTGTGTTTATTCGATGTATATGAATATGTTGATAAGTCTATATGATTCCTGCTTTTTAGATCACAGGTGTTAAATGTTTTAAAAATAGAGAGAGATTTCAGGCCTTCCTACCTGAATAACACCGAGTTCCTTTTGATGTCATGGATCCTGTTAGTTAGTCTATATTGTCAGTGTCATTGATCTGCAAAAGACAGGCTTATCAGAAAGGAAAGCCATATGTTTCCTTTAGTATGCCATAATGAATAATTCCCCCCTCCCCCCGAAAAAAAACATTTTTTTTACAAGCATTTTAATCTATAGGTTCAGGTCATTATAAAAGGATGTTTCATTTCAGATCATTCAGTATCCAAAGAAAACAGTGGCACACAATTCAGAAATGAGATATATTTGGTTTAAAAGTGAAATTCTAAATTCAGAATATGTATATGATAGATATTCTATTTCATCTAATATTGTCTGTATCATAAATGACCACAGCACTTGTTTTAACATCAACATGATTAAGTTCCGGAATCTTGATATATCAACTTTTTTTTTCTTTTTATAATGGATATATTTGAAACATTCCTTTGATCACATCTAGTCAGTACTTTTCTTTAGCAATATGCATAAGTGTAGTTTTCACCTATTTCATTCTGAAGGAAGAACTGTTAAAAAAAACATGGTTAATAGTGATATTATGGAAAAGAATGATTTTAAAAATGAATAATATAATCAGGTTTACCATCCCTTTTGTTTCTGTTAATCACTAATAATTTCTTTTCTTCATTCCAGGCAATGGGACTGACCGAGGAATCCTAGTGTACAGAGGTGCCAATGATACAATTAGACAGAAAATTAGCAATGGTTTGATTGTCAGTTTTGTAAATTTTATTTTAAATTTATCCTGTGAGGAAGTTTCAAATGACTAAGGACACCGGCCTGTGATGTACCTGTTCCTGATTGGTTTGATTGTGTGACAGGTAAATTTGCCACTAATATTGAAAACAGTCGACATGTGACGTTGATATATATGCTATTAAAGTTATCCAGATGAAAAACTTGTGGTTTGTGTTGTTTTAAAGTTAGCATGGTACGTTTATTTACCATTTTGTCACGCTATTTTTGGTGTGAGTGTACTAAGATTATAGTTCAGACAAAAAAGTTGGTAAATTCTCTACCATCTTTTACACTACATATGCAATGCTAGTATGCTCCACACTTGTCATTTGTCTGATGAAGGTGACCTGTAGTCATTGAAATGTCACCCTTAAATTATATTCTATGTACAACAAGAGGCCTGTATTGTTCACCTTGCTCCTGCAGCCTGGCAGTGCTATACATGCCTATAGGTTGTGCATTTCAAATATTTCAAGATTAAAGCTCAGTCACTTAACCTCATTGATGGGGCAAGACCAATTGGTAAATTCTTAGACCATTACTCTTCTGCTGCCTAAGTTTATATGATTGTTGGGTTTTTGGATCTCAACTATGTCAAAATTATGACCCAGAAATCAAGTCCCTATGTGTATGCCATACCCAAGGGTCAATTCTTACATCATGATCTTGACGCCCATCATAACAATAAATAGTTATGGGGTGGTGATCTCAACTGTTTCAAGATAATACCAAGAAGCAAAGTCTTGCAGGGTGGGGACACACTTCAGGGCTGATTTTTACATCATGATTGAGTGTATCTCTTGATGCATAGCAATGCAATATATTGTTCTAGGGTAGGGATCTCCATGTTTCAAATATATAACCCATAAGTTAAGTTTGGTGGCACAACATCCAAGGTACAATTTTTCCACATGAATGCTTTTATCTCTTCATGCCCAACATTGCTATGCATGTATCTAGTTTAGGTTGGTGATCTCAAATGTTTCAACAATATAACCCAGTAACTAAGTCCCCAGGGGTTGGGCCAGACCCTGGGGCCAATGCATACATAATTATTGTGTTTATCTCTTGAAGCTTAGCAATGCCGTATATGGTTATGGGGTGGGGATCACAACTATTTCAAAGATATAACACAGAAACTAAATCATTAGGGGTGGGGATAGGGAGCCCAGGGCAAATTCTTGTATCATGATTGTGTTTATCTTTTGATCCCTAACATTACTATATATATTTGTATGAGGTTGGAATCTCAGCTGGTTAAGAAATATAAGAAACTAAGTCCCTTCAGTGGAAGTCGAACTCCAGGGCCAATTCTTACATCATGATTGTGTTTATTTCTTTATGCCCAACAATATATATTCTCAACAGCATCAACTGTTTCAAAGATACATTCTATTTCCCTATTGAGCCCCTCCCCTCGTGTCTTAAAGGGAGCAAGACGAAAACTTATCATTTCTACAGAGGAAGGAGGAGTAGAATTTTAAAGAATAAACAGAGAAAGAGAGTGAGGGGGATTCCCCTTCACTTAAACATGATTATGACCACATGTGGAAAAAATCCAATCATTTCTAAAGGAGTAGTAAGAATTTCCCCTTTTGGGTCCTACTCCGCAGGCTGCCTGCCATTTATATAAATCATGTACCCATTCCTCAAAGGATGCTTCCTACCAACATTGGTCTTTCCCCCTTCAGTCGTTCATGAATAGTAACATTTTGTAGAAAAACTTGACGGACGCCGCGACATCCCTACATCACACTTGGCCCAAGTAAGGACTTGATTGCAGGATTTACATGGACGCATTGTACTGGCTATCTTGTTAAGATCAACAATAATAGTATGATGGTCATCATTATTTCATCATCCTTGTTTGATAATAACTTGGATTTGTTTAAGTGCTCGTTTGTATGCATGATAGTTTCGTTGTTGTTAACCTTGTTCAGCATTGAGACTAAAATCTCATTTGGATTGACGTGGTTAATTGAAGTTACTCATTAGAAACACATGGTCTTATTCTTCTTGCACGTTTTTGGAAGACTCTTTGAAAATCTGTTTTTAAATATTTCGCTTTAGTTTTATTGGAGTTTGGATTATTACCTATGTTGACATTAGCATCTTGTTGGTTTTTTTTGACTGAAAGTAAGACAATTTCAACGTTATACTATGGACTTTCGTGGGTTTTTAATATGTCTTTTATCTGTACTAGTTTTTTTAATTGGAATTTGAATAATGATTCTGTTCTCTTGTTGATATTTTTTTTCGTTTAAAACTTAGCGTTAGAGAAAAATCTTCAGGAAGAAGATAAGGGAAAATGTTGAATCTACACTTACATTCTTACAATAGGGATAAAATGCACAATTCCTACGACCATGCATGCATGGCTGAGGTGTATCCTTTTTTAACACTGTTTACTGTAACGTTTTAAAGTATAACGTTTATATATAATCCGTGACAATTCATACGTTTATTTTATGTATTCAAATCTTTACGCGACAGTAAAAAAACCAATACCCACATTGTCATTAAATGAGGACATTTTCATCTACATGTTCTTATTTGAATGCTAATGAGAGTAGGTTAACTCTGTTCATAAATGGTAAGTATGCTGACGTCTCGCATGATTGAATTATAACAGAGTGTGTCAAAGTATAACAAAGTATAAGAAGTACACGTTCTTTACTATAATGTAATCAGACAGCATTACATCACACTTATGGATATTTACCGAACGTACTGTGAACTACTTATTTGTTATATTATATTTCACGTTTTGCAAGCAGCTGCATTCGCAAATGCAAATCCTTCGCGAATATACTTCTGCTTTGTAACACATAGAATGCGATTTTTTACGCTAAAAGCAAAAAAAATTATTATAAAAAAATACCACCATGTTAATAACATCATGATTAGAAATTGTTGAAACAAAGGCTAAATATTAACAAAAGAGAGATTTATTCAGAGGCCAATGGCTTACCGACGACATACACTATGTAATCAACCCAAACAAGTAATGTCACGTTCTCAAATGAGTCACGAAATCACGAGGTATTGAACAAATTCCACTTAAAATCTGACATGTTTTCTATAACGGAAAATAAACCGAGGAAGCCAATTTAAATATGACCTGTTTATAACCAACTTAACCGATTCACTAGTGTCTTTGTGGACATCCTTGTGAAGATTATCATATTTGTTTTATTGTCTGTCACCTATATCAAAACTTCTGTAGAATATTATGTAAATACGCCATAATGCTGACGCTAGTATTTCTTTTGTCAATGCGTTACAGAATGTTCTGATTAGGTCGAAAAGATTTGATTCTCTCTATTTGGAGAAGTCATTTATAAGTCGGTAAAACTAACTGATTGATCCTATCGTCGTTTCCTGTCAATGCAAACCATTGTGACGACTATAAATCTTCAGCATATACCTGCATCTTCCGAAACTTTGAGTTCCAGCTTTCAACATCTTGGACGGAAACTTGATACTGGGTAAAGCCATTGAGTATCGACTTAACATGTTAACAACATAGGTTGGGGAAGCAGTGATGTTACAATCTAGAGATGGTACTTTCACAATGGTATCTAAAATCTCCACGCGTATTAATCATAGAGCTTGATATGTTCCTACTGTTTTTGTTTGAGGAAATGAACATGACTTGTGTGGAAGAGTGTCTGTCCGATTCTGGCGGATTTATAGGATAGACAAGGGTAATATGTCTTGTTGTAAGACAATACATCATCTATTTATATAAAAGCCGAGGAACTTGTCAAAATCTTTGTGACCTTCCTTGATAAGTTCTTCGATACATCCATTTATATGTTTAATGTTAGAGCCCAAACGGTAATCATTTTAAAATCCATTTGTTACCATGTATTTTACATTACTATGGATACGAGACGCATTTTATTCGGTTTATTAAATCTGCAGTTAACAAAACCAACTGACAATGTCTTATATATCAAGTATATATGTAGTATTCGTAAGTGTAACATATAATGTCTGTCACCTAAATTGCAATTCAGATTATATAATAGAGTGGTGAACAACTGTGTTTCTGGTTTAAGCAAAACGTACACAGCTATCACTGAAAAAAAATAAAAGTTAGATCATACATAAGTGATGAAAACAATACTTCATAGAATTAATTCTGTGAAAAGCTTATAAAGTTTTATAAAAATTGTAGCATGGAACCCCGAAAATTCTGTTTTCGAAGTAATGCAAACATTCACCTCAAAGCTTCTCTTAGTCTGAATCCATATTATAACCGACCGAGCGAAACATTATTACAGTTAAACGGCCTTTAATTCCACAAGCACGCTACGCTTCAACACGAGAAATCAAAACTATAATCGTAAAAGCAGTTTATTTTACATCGTATTTGACAGCAATGCCAAATTGGTTGCGCGTAGTCTTCTAATTTCTAATTATTTGAAGAGAACACGCAATGCGCATTTTGAACATAAGATTTCAAAATAATTCTGAGCAGAAAACGTGACATAGCTGAATTTCTTACAGGTTTAAATAATCTCTTACTAAAATATTCCTCATCTATCTTTAAAACTTGATGTTATGTGGAATATTAATTGACAAGAATTCATCCATTCAACCGTTGCAGAAATCATTATTTTGAAATGTGCTTTTAACATTGGGATTTATTGGGACAAATTATGCTCATTATAGTCTACGTTTAAGAGTGTCGGCACTTGTCATCTTAGATAATTAAGCTAACCTTAGATTTAACATCACACTCCACTCCAGGTTTTTATAACAACTGCGGTCACTTAGATTTCATCACATCGATACTATATCTAATATATGATATATATAATGTTTGTATCACCAAAGACAGGATAATTGGTTATTGTTTTATAATACAAGTTATGATTTTGGTGAAGGTTAGAAAAGAAGAGCTGGCGAGAACTTCGTGGTGACTGATAAAGCGCTGCTTTATCTAGTAATATTTATCGACTGATTCATGTGTGGTGGTCGCAGGATTGCAAGCTAAAATGTATGTAGTGTCTTTATGTTTATTCAAATATTCAATATTCAAACCTAGTTCGTGTGTTATTTTTTTCTTTAAGCCACATGCACAGGTGAAGCTAAAGTCAACATTCAGCGAATCACAATAGACAGCGTAAAGTATTTACATATGGTAACAAAATTAAATCGTGATGAAATAGGGCCGGTAGGGCAGGTTAATAAATTCTTGTACATTTATAACTTTATTACTGTCAACACTTTCATCACACATTATGGTGAAAATGTCATTTGTATCTTCTGTCATTGTAATGGAATGTATTCCAACAACAAAAAGCAAACCTATTTCGGTGTTCTACTCGATCAAGCAAATTCAAGTATCATTAAATCTTAGCATATTTTTAATATGATTAATATTACTTAAAAACAAAAATTCTAATTTTATGTGCTTGAATATTAAATTATATTTGTTGTACACAATCTCATATATGATTTCAAGCTGATTTAATCTGTCACGTAATAAGCATGCTATCCAGTTGATGCACAGTTTTTTTAATATATCGTTAGTGTAATATAGTCCGACAGAACTCAGTTGTGACGTCATAAGACGGACAATAACGTTACGTCATAATTGAGAATGTCGCTACAAAATTACGTCTTCAATTTGAATTTATACTCCACATTTTGGATTTATAATTTGCCAAAAGTTCAAATTTCTAAGTTATATCATAAGAAGTACTTTTGATTTTTCATTTCATATGATATCTTGTTAAACTCGGACCAAATTTTGATGTTCGCGATACGAATCTAAAACATCTTGAAGTTTCTCTATGTACTAAAACAGTTATATCGGTTACTCGTTCATATTTATTCTATTTTTTTTACATATTAATCGAGGTTTCATTTACTCATTAAGTCAGAAACTTAGTCAGAACCATATATTACTTTCTACGGTGTACTGATTTGTCGTAACAGAAAACGACTTCTGTATCACTTCAATAAAAAGTACTAAAAGTTCTAGATCACACGAAAATGATTAAGAACTATAGGACATATGAATATGAATCACGTGGTAAGTTGTGGTGGTGTTATAGTTCTACATAATGTGAACCCGGCTTGTAGCATATATATGATAGTGTGTTCCTGTACACACTATGACCATCATTGTGCATCTTGTGGAGGAGTTAAGATGTGGCAATTCCTGCTGTCAGCATGCGTTCTCTCAAGTCTGTTGAGTGTCAACTACGGACGGATGGTACAAGAACAAAAACGCATAGGTTTGTAACTTATTAGTTATTAAGTTAATCCGGAGTAGGTTTATATTGAAATTACGAAATTTATTGAATGATAGTGCTAGTGCACCTCTCCATCTAGGTTTTGACTTTTCTCTCGATTAGTTTGGTTTTTCCCCAGTCACCTTCGAGGCTTCAAATTAGGCTCTAGCATCACTGACGAGGCCTAGAAGGGCGAAACAGCACAGCTGTATGATGTAGCATCACTGACGAGGCCTAGAAGGGCGAAACAGCTGTATGATGTTGTTTGAGTCATTGTTTTACTATAATGTATCTCACTCTAAATTTGTGTTTAAATGTACTATTCATAGGCATGTCTTCTGTACGATCTTTGAAAGGCAATATTGTAAGTAAATCATTATGCCATATGTGAAAACACTAGCAATGGAGTCAGTATGATTTATACAAGCAACATTGTACGTATATTAGTATTTCTATTTTGAACATTCGGATACAAATTTGGTTTTCCGTGTTTAGAAATAGAGTTGAAGGCTGCAAAATTACTTACTATTTGCTATAGGCATACGAAAAAAAATTGATTTTCTGACAACGGATTGATGGAACTGTAGGACTGTGTAATCAATATTTTATTCCGTTATTGTAATTATAAAAAATTATGGAAGGTTTCAGATGTTGTATACCTTGTTGTCAAATGGAATATGACATTTTTTACTTGGTTTGACAAATTAACATGGTGGGTGTTTCTTATAAAGCTTCGGACGCTTGATCTTCCGAAACACCTGATCTTATGAACACTGTACTTTTCAAGAGTCTCCATGTGAACCATTCTCTTGTTCATATTTTACCCTCATTTCATCCAATTTAAGTTCGAATTAAGATTTTGTTAACATGTCGGTATCTTCGTTTTGGTTTCTTTAAATGAGCTTTTGTGCACTGCATACTGATTATACCAATTTGTGTCACACGTCACTCAATGTTTTATACACATTTCTTCCTCAGGTGACAGAAAGTAATATGCTGTATATGACAAACGCATCTGTTCGGCGTACGGTGCATTTCTGATTACAGTTCACTTTCCTTCTGTAAAATATACCAAAACGTACATACACGTAATCATCCAACACTAAACTGCCAAGCTTTTCATAAGTAAAACTTAACAGTAATGAAACTTTCTTCTAGTATGATTACCGTCTTTCACTGTGAGGTCTGTGCATTTGCTTTTATTTTAGGCATACATTATCATTTAATGTCACGATAAATGCTCCTTCAGAGCGATAAAGTCAAAGGTAACAGCGACAAAAATAATAGGATGCATACTAGTTCATCAGTAAATGGTGAATATCTTTATGACAGACAATGTGATCACCAGTGAATGATGATACGGACACCACTCCTTCACACTGGATGAATCAACCTTACTAGAATCTATATATACAGCGTTTTCTTACTGGCTCGTCAAGTTTTTCAACCAAACCTGTTTCTTATACGTCTTACTTGTACACCAACATTCCTATCAAATCGAGGTTACAGCTTCAGGTAGTACTGTCACGAAGAGAAATTGATAGTACATCAATATGTATATAGTACATTTGAATGCGAATGATAAAGAACCAATGCTAATTTTAAATGGCCTCTTTATTTTCCTTCATTTTGAGTATTGATTAAGATACCGTAGACTTGATAATTAGAAACGTATTTTATCATATCATAGAATAATACATTTGTTTTATGTATTTCAGAATTTAACAAAGCCCTTCGTAAACCTTTGCTGAAACAAGTTGGACTTCAGCTGAAATCAATTAAAACGGATGTTCCTAAAGTATACAAGATCAATGAATGCAAGACTAAAATCAGCAGCAAATACCAAGAATGTGCCAAGTGCCTGAGTTCCAAGTTTACGGAAAGGTATTTCTTGTTATGAAAGTAATATTCATTTAATGCATTGTTTTGAAAAAAAATATTTCCCTATGTGTAAAATTGTATGCCTAGAATGTAGCGCAACCCGTACCAGAATGTACCATCGTTGTCCCAAGACTATTTAAGCTGTTAGACTTTACACCAATTTGAAAAATCTGTTATGATAAATATTATACTTTATGTACAGGTGACTGGTCAGGGATTAGGGAAGAAAGGGGTCATAGGAGATGGGTTTAGGAAGTAATACTTGATCTTTTTATTTGTAATATTCTCGTTGTTGAAAGGTCAAAATACACAGGTGACTTATCCCAATGGTGGATCTTGATGGGACACAAACGATGTCATTATCTGAAGACTATTTATCGGGTTTATGATCACACACGGATTTCGAAATACCGCAAGATGAAAAACAAATTTCTTAATCTCACCAACGAAGAAACCTGTCACAAGTCCCTAATTATTCCATGCCATTAATGTCAATCCTTCCTATTTTAGTCATGCTCTGAAGTATTACTCAAGATACTGAATCACCAACTACGAATCACTAGAAATCTTAACAGTAGGTCGCTCGGAGATCAATTGGCAATCCTATGTCTAGTTATTGTATTATGCCGACTTAAAGTTTAAGGTAGATAGTAGGGTATCGTTCTTCATCATTTGCATATAATGTATTATTAAGATATGTTCCTTGTAATTATTGTTGTAATAAAATTCACGTGTATTATTTTTCTCTGATGAAAGAAGCAAAAATCATAAACTAACATGCAAAAGAATGACCAAACAAGAAAGGCGTATTTCTGTAGCTTCAGCAGAACTTAACAATTGTTGAAAATTTTGGAGATGTCTACAAGGCACAGTTTGGGATGGTAATCACTGAATCTTTAATGTGTTATGCTACCAAATGTATGCTTATTGAAAACTAATGTTACGAAAATCCTAACAACCTTAAATATAAAGAGATAAGATCTTAGATAAGTATTTATGCATCCCGAACCGGTGTAATGTAAGGAGTTAGTGCATGTATGTAGGATTATACACAATACGTATAAGAAGAATAAACAAGATCTCTGTCAGCAATTAATAACTTTCGAAAGATGACCGATCAGGCTGCTGCATCTATCATGAATACAATATCTTTCCTGATTGTATTAATCGTATGTTTTTCGTTAATTGAATTTTTAATTGAAATTGTCATTTCAGAAAACCGAGCAAATCTCTTTCAGTCAATAATGCCCTGATGTCACTTTGCTCCTCCACCGATGTCGGATATGAAATATGTCAGCTAATCATAGATCAGGAGCAGCCATTTTTAGAATTTATGACAAGAGCAACGAAAAAGGTTCAAAGTACACTGGTCTCCGTGCTGGACCCCACTAAAGACTCTGAGCTGCTTCTAGAAGTTTTCCAAGGTTTCTTGAATGAGCCATGGGTATCCTCATCTGCTGCTGACGTAAGAAAATCTGTTAGTGATGCAAAAGTGGCCCTACAAACACCACAAGGTATGCATTGATAAATACCGCTTTTGCTTTTCATTTGGGTATCTGCGTTCGTTCCTCATCATTTTGAATACCTGCCCTGGTATCTCCCTAATTTGTCCCCCCCCCCCCCTCATTTTTGGGGGTTGAAAATGTTCCAAAGTATCTGCTTTCGTCCTCAAAAGTTGAGATTATCTGCTTCCGCTCGTTCTGTTTTTTTCAAATTTGCATGGTTATCTGTTTCCATCAACTCAACTCATTTTAAGTTAAAACGGTAGAGTAGTAATGCTTAAGTCTGAATCATGTTGAATGATGATCATTAGATCAGTTCAGTTTTCAATATGATGTTTTCATAATTGATGGCCTTTTTTAGTGAAGATTTGAGTTTATAAAACTTATTTTTGATATTTGAAGAGAGATAACAACCAATTGATTTTTTTATTTCATTGTTTTATATATATATATATATATATATATATATTAAGTAAACAAATCATCCTTTTTAAATGAATGTAATAGATGGTAACTGAAGTAGTCCAATTCTCCATTTTGACGTCTGGTTTTTTACTCTTCGTATTTAACTCTGTATTTGAACTGAACGGTGATGTTCTTCTGTGTGTCTTCTTTAGTATCTTTAAGATTGCAGGTTGTAGACACTGCTAGTGAACTCTTAGTTACCGAGGTTTACAATAACCTCTATGCCACGTTTGAATCTTTATGACGTTTTTATGAAATAATTTATCACTTGCAGTTCGTGTGTAATCCTCTCTACCTATAGATTCATTTCACATATTTGAATATTTTTCAATAAGCTATGTGTACATTTAGACAGTAAGTACATTTTTTCGAATCGCTGAATTATTTATCTTTCATAATTCAACATTTACACATAGTGCTATTTTACATGATGTTTAAATCATCAAACTATCCAAGTAAAAACCTTGAATATTTAAATATAACATTAATTGTCAGTGTTTGTTTAGATTAAAGCAGATTGTGTTGATTGAAAATGCACAATGTTTCCGTAAGTCTCATGTGATGCAAACACTTTTCCTATACAGTCACCACCTTGTAATCTGTTACGTTTTCTTGAAATATCAGAAATAAGATATAAATCTTATTCCAGGGCGGAAAAAACGATCAGATGGAACAGGCACTACAGGTACGCATTGCCTAAAAATGTAGTAATTCGGAAATAAGTAATTGACAAAAGCTTACATAATCAAAGCCTGCAATAAATTGTCGTTTATTTGTTATCATTAAACGTATTAGTAATCAGGATATCGTCGATATGTAGTTTTAACTCGGGGAATATATTTTAATAACTGTTAACATTCATAAACCGGAAATGACATACTAATTTCTGTTAAACTATATCATTTTCTACGATTGTATAATTTCACAAATGTCAAAAATGTGCTAATGATCAGCCTTGCTATTTTCAGAATATAGAAGGATAAAAAGGTGGACCAAATATCTCAAATCTGTATTTGAACAAATGCCTAGTGAAGTAAGGAAAGCAAGTCAAGACTACAAGTCTTACATGAAAAAATATAAGAAGTATGCCAAAGGTAGGTTTATTGAACAGATTTAAACTGCAATTTGTTTTCAATCACATTAATGTTACGTTATATATATGGTGTCTTATAGCATGAAGCATAAATATGGAATTTCATGGCGGTTTATTTTATTTCACTTATGAAAATAGAACACGTAATTTTCAAAAAAGTCTCACTAAGAAATGTCGATGAATTTTCTGCTTCTATATTTTTCGTCAAAAATCTTCTTTTAGAGATGCCAGTTCCAAGAAAAAGGAGGTCGTCTGCGAAAAAAGCTCCCGTTGGTAAGTGAATTTAATCGATATTATTACCTAACAAAGATATACGATGCTGTTTTCGTAAAGGTCAAGACTCGGTCATAGTTAATTTTCATGTTTATATGTAGCATACCACATTTCTTAAATGATGTTCTCGTTGTGTTTTGGTAATTCTTGCAAAATGAAATGGTCGTTTATGGCATTTAATACATTATCTACAATATAGCATATTGGGAATATCACTGTATCATTAAGTATAGGGTTGTGACTATACATCCTGTACGAAGTATCTTATGGTTCATATTCAGAAACCCACTACCACGAGAGATACAACTGATATAAACGATCATAATTGAGTACGTTGAAAAAGCAGTTTCATTCATCAATGGCATTTAATTTTCTGTTTTCATGGAAGTGGAAATTCAGGAATAAGCAATAATTACAGAATAATTATAGAAACATCCCTTGTTATACATGAAATATTATTATTTTATTTTTTTTTGTAATTAATCTTCTTACTTTTTAACATGTGACTTTTTATCTTTATTATTTCAGTTGTGAGAACAAAACGTTGGATCAATATGGTCAAAGGCATCATGCAAAGTTTTAATGTTACGAACGCTTCTAACACAATAATGAGTACGTTGGGGAAGATAAGTAACCACATCCCGATCACCGGTAAGTAATACTCAATAAGTGGTTAGAGTATCATGTTTGATAAATCGACCTCTAATTTTAATATGTAGTCATAAAGTTTGACTGTAAAAAGTGAAGTTTTTTTAAATTAGATTTCATTTCCAGAATTGATCAATCATTATTGTTAACATTCATAGCAAAGAAGGAGTTACGAAACGAGTCGTAGGCGATACGTTTCTGGCAGTGGCGTTGCCTTTTTAGCGGCGTTACTATTCTGGCGGTGTCGTCTGCTTTTGTCTTAAGCTCCAATTTGTTCGATTAAGTTGCAAGTGTTATCATCACCAAACCTGTTCAATGGTTGTATATATAATCAAGAGCATCTTGTACATGTTTTTAATTAAGACTTTAACATACAGTTTATACAGAAAATGTCGGCGATGAGACCAGTGGAGACTTCATCAAGATGATTGGTTTTTCTGCAAATAGAATTACTGTTTTATTATTTTTCAATTTTTCACAGGATCTTTCATATTTGAAACTCTTAATCGGGATGATGTTATTTGCCCTCTTTCTTTCTTGGGAGAAAATAAGAATCGTCACCACAATATTTCTAAAATCTACAATGACATATTGTTTTTGTTATTTTGTAGTACCAATGATGGGTAGAGGGACGCAAAGCACCATTTCCAGTATGTATAAGTAATAGCATAACAGGGATGATTTTTATAAGAACAGCTGCGACATTAATAAGCTTACGTTATTATTCTCTGTTGTAAACTACAGTTAACCTTTAATGCATGCGAAATACGCAACCACCAGTTTTGAGAGCTTGACAGTACAGTTAATTATGATTGTTAACGTGGACGATGCCCTGTTGACGCCAATGACAGAATTTAATATTATATGTATACTTTTTAGAAATACTTAAGCATTAAACATAAATAATACAACAAGTTTTTCATTGATTACATACACACTCATTTCCAATCCATCATTTATTTTGGCAAATTTTACAGGAAACATGTTTTCTTACGTCACTCAAGTCATCTCGTCTCTATATCTATGGTCGCCATCGTGACGTTACAATTTAATCTGCGAATGCGTGACCTCATTTCAATATCTAATCATGACGTCACAAGAGTTTATATTACATGAGGCAATACTCAAATATATCACATGATAGGTTATATTTACTGAATTAAACGGCAGTTGAATGAAAAATACATAATATATCAAAGCTCAATATCTTTGTGATGTGATTTATTACTTGCTAAACAAGTGACATTTTGAAAACCTTTATTTCATAAATCATATTGTGAAGCAAAGCAATCTGTCAGTTTATCTTGGTTGTACTAAATCTTCCGTGTTTATTGTAGATTCAGATACCCTCAAATGTGGTCGAGGGAAATGCAGAGCGCTTATAGATGCGTGTTCTGTCTCAACGTCGTGTCCGGATCCTACCAAACCTATGATAAACGATGGTCAGTGAGCATTGGTGTTTCTTAACTGATATTTGTAGCATCTTTTTAAATTTTAGAATATGCTGTCAGAAATCTATGACATATGATCACTTGTTTATTTTCATACTTATACATTGAATTTTATTTGCTTTCCAGTTTGCGAGTTCTATGTTCAACTCGGTGCAAAGCCTATCATCGCTCGTCTGGAGCGCGCGAAAGACATATTTGATGCCGTAAGAACTAGAGAAAATTTCATCACAGCTGTAAGTTTACTCATTTAGCCAACATAATACATGTATTCAAACAACATACGTTACACTTCAGATACTGCTTGATTGTATGTAATCTTTTGATTAACAGAAAAAAGAATCTGATGAAATACACCAATTTCTGTACTTCCGTTCCTCTTCGGTTACGTTCTGTATAAGATGATTGAGTTCACCAATAATCAAAACTTTAGCAGATATTTGTTTCAAACGTTCAAAATTGAAAGAGATACCACTTTAGAAAATACAAATACATTGCACATGTATGATCTTATCCTAAACTTTCTGAAATTCTTTCATTTTCGGTCAACAATTTCGGTAACAATGTCTGCTCGATATGCACTGTGATATAGTCCTAAAGAATGAAATTAAACCTCTGCCATGAAGTTTGTAAAGCATTTAAACTAATTCAGATTAACTGCTACTGGAATTGCTGTGGCATCGCACAAATAGTCCATTGTTAAACGATGTCAATCGCCCCCGAAATATCGCGGTATATAGTGTAATCCTTTTTTTTTTTTTTTTAGCGTTTTCAAGTCCGGCACACCTTTTTCCGAGAAGGGAAATGAATCTTCCCTATTGACAATAACTCATTTTGTGTTCTTTTTTCATTATCTTTGTTGGAGTGAAAAGTAGTACACATTAATCATTATGCATTTAAAATATCAGACAGGTTCAAATTTCACGCAACAAATAGAAATCAGTATGAAATGTCTGTCAAGCTTGTGATGCTCTGGGGCCACTTGTTCCTACATATACCGATGTTACATCTTTTTATTTTTGTAACTTTATTATGTGGAATGGGTACCGTGATGTACTACATTGTAAGGAACGCGATTCTCAAAAGGCAAATATATTTTGATTGTGATATCTTTTTTTTATAATTTCAGATGAATTACCAGTTCCGACAAATGAGTGTGAATGTAAACGTGGCAGCTCCAAATAACATAGATCTGCCTATTATGAATACATTGAATATGAAGGCTGCTGCGAACAACGCAGCGAAACCCCTTATGGATGGTCTTATGAAGATGAACCAATCACCGCCTCCTTCTAATTTCTTCTAGTTTAAATACAGAAATAAATAAATGGTCGATGCTGAAGATATTACTTTGACTTCCCGCTTGCATATGTCCACTTGCCAGTGATACAGAACTTAACACATATAACGATATTTCACAAACCAGAATTACACAGTCACAGACTGTATTTCTGTATCTTCGGAAATTGTGTCTGTGTTTCTGCTCTCCAAAGCGTCCTATGGGCGGGAAAGAAAACTTCCACCCTACGTCAGTGTAATCTTTGACTCGTTATTGCGGGCCTGGATTCATCGCTGGACGAATTCCTGAGGCAATCCAATTCGAAATACCAGTAGCATGAAGTATTTACATGGAACAATGAAACATAATCAATACCTCTGGCGTGCGAAGCTTGAATACCGTATTTAAAGATGTGCTGGCTATATTGCGTAATAAATGTGTTGAAAAATTAGAAACAATAATTTCTATTTAAATCACCTAAAAACAAACTCCATTGATTGTGACTTTACAAATCAGTGCACGTCCCCATCTGATTTTTTTAACCTCTAATTTGCTCAAGATTTCTGTTCCTCAATCACTTCCAAGGTCTCCACCATTTCAGCCTTTCCATCATTGATGGTCATAGAAGGACAAAATGTCTTATATCTAATTTTCAATTAGTGCTATTTACGTGCGTGTCTACAGATTCCACAAGAAATGGTAGATATAAATTGCCACACTTTACAGACTTTGCGCAAAATATATAGATGTTTTATCAATACAAATAAACACCGACACGCTTTATAGATACTAAATAAATAAATAAGACACGCTGTATAGAACATAATGAAATGACAGACATACAACGACACGCTGTATACATCATAATGAAATGACATACAACGACACGCTGTATAGAACATAATGAAATGACAGACATACAACGACACGCTGTATAGAACATAATGAAATGACAGATATACAACGACACGCTGTATACATCATAATGAAATGACAATCAACGACAGGATGTATAGATCATAATGAAATGACAGACATACAACGACACGCTGTATAGAACATAATGAAATGACAGACATACAATGACACGCGGTATAGATCAATGAAATGACAGACATACAACGACACGCTGTATAGAACATAATGAAATGACAGACATACAACGACACGCTGTATAGAACATAATGAAATGACAGACATACAACGACACGATTTATACATCATAATGAAATGACAGACATACAACGACAGGCTGTATAGAACATAATGAAATGACAATCAACGACACGCTGTATAGAACATAATGAAATGACAGACATACAATGACACGCGGTATAGATCAATGAAATGACAGACATACAACGACACGCTGTATAGAACATAATGAAATGACAGACATACAACGACACGCTGTATAGAACATAATGAAATGACAGACATACAACGACACGATTTATACATCATAATGAAATGACAGACATACAACGACAGGCTGTATAGAACATAATGAAATGACAATCAACGACACGCTGTATAGAACATAATGAAATGACAGACATACAACGACACGATTTATACATCATAATGAAATGACAGACATACAACGACACGCTGTATAGAACATAATGAAATGACAGACATACAACGACACGCTGTATAGAACATAATGAAATGACAGACATACAACGACACGCTGTATAGAACATAATGAAATGACAGACAATTAACGACACGCTGTATAGAACATAATGAAATGACAGACATACAACAACACGCTGTATAGAACATAATGAAATGACAGACATACAACGACACGCTGTATAGAACATAATGAAATGACAGACATACAACGACACGCTGTATAGAACATAATGAAATGACAGACATACAACGACACGCTGTATAGAACATAATGAAATGACAGACATACAACGACATGCTGTATAGAACATAATGAAATGACAGACATACAACGACACGCTGTATAGAACATAATGAAACGACAGACATACAACGACACGCTGTATAGAACATAATGAAATGACAGACATACAACGACACGCTGTATAGAACATAATGAAATGACAGACAATTAACGACACGCTGTATAGAACATAATGAAATGACAATCAACGACACGATGTATAGATCATAATGAAATGACAGACAATTAACGACACGCTGTATAGAACATAATGAAATGACAGACAATTAACGACACGCTGTATGGAACGTAATGAAATGACAATCAACAACACGCTGTATAGAACATAATGAAACGACAATCAACAACACGCGGTTGATATCATAACGAAATGACAGACATACAACGACACGCGGTATAGAACATAATGAAATGACAGACATACAATGACACGCTGTATAGATTATAATGAAATGACAGACTTACAACGACACACTGTATAGAACATAATGAAATGACAGACATACAACGACACGCTGTATAGAACATAATGAAATGACAGACTTACAACGACACACTGTATAGAACATAATGAAATGACAGACATACAACGACATGCTGTATGGAACATAATGAAATGAGACATACAACGACACGCTGTATAGAACATAATGAAATGACAGACATACAACGACACGCTGTATAGAACATAATGAAATGACAGATATACAACGACACGCTGTATACATCATAATGAAATGACAATCAACGACAGGATGTATAGATCATAATGAAATGACAGACATACAACGACACGCTGTATAGAACATAATGAAATGACAGACATACAATGACACGCGGTATAGATCAATGAAATGACAGACATACAACGACACGCTGTATAGAACATAATGAAATGACAGACATACAACGACACGCTGTATAGAACATAATGAAATGACAGACTTACAACGACACACTGTATAGAACATAATGAAATGACAGACTTACAACGACACACTGTATAGAACATAATGAAATGACAGACATACAACGACATGCTGTATGGAACATAATGAAATGAGACATACAACGACACGCTGTATAGAACATAATGAAATGACAGACATACCACGACATGCTGTATAGAACATAATGAAATGACAGACATACAACGACACGCTGTATAGAACATAATGAAATGACTGACATACAACGACACGTGGTATAGAACATATTGAAATGACAGACATACAACGACACGCGGTATAGAACATAATGAAATGACAATCAACGACACGCTGTATAGAACATAATGAAATGACAGACATACAACGACTCGCTGTATAGATCATAATGAAATGACAGACATACAACGACTCGCTGTATAGATCATAATGAAATGACAGATATACAACGACTCGCTGTATAGATCATAATGAAATGACAGATATACAACGACTCGCTGTATAGATCATAATGAAATGACAGATATACAACGACACGCTGTATAGATCATAATGAAATGACATACAACGACACGCTGTATAGAACATAATGAAATGACAGACATACAACGACACGCTGTATGGATCATAATGAAATGACAGACTTACAACGACACGCTGTATAGAACATAATGAAATGACAGACATACAACGACTCGCTGTATAGAATATAATGAAACGACAATAAACGACACGCTGTATAGAACATATTGAAATGACAGACATACAACGACACGCGGTATAGAACATAATGAAACGACAGACATACAACGACACGCCGTATAGAACATAATGAAATGACAGACATACAACGACACGCTGTATAGAACATAATGAAATGACAGACATACAACGACACGCTGTATAGAACATAATGAAATGACAGACATACAACGACACGCTGTATGGATCATAATGAAATGACAGACTTACAACGACACGCTGTATAGAACATAATGAAATGACAGACATACAACGACTCGCTGTATAAAATATAATGAAACGACAATAAACGACACGCTGTATAGAACATATTGAAATGACAGACATACAACGACACGCGGTATAGAACATAATGAAACGACAGACATACAACGACACGCCGTATAGAACATAATGAAATGACAGACATACAACGACACGCTGTATAGAACATAATGAAATGACAGACATACAACGACACGCTGTATAGAACATAATGAAATGACAGACATACAACGACATGCTGTATAGAACATAATGAAATGACAGACATACAACAACACGCTGTATAGAACATAATGAAATGACAGACATACAACGATACGCTGTATAGAACATAATGAAATGACAGACAATCAACGACACACTGTTTAGATTTATCATGAAACAGAAATGCTTGAATGATATACCAATTGATAATGATAATTGATGATTACCTAAGAAATAGTTTTGCATGTTGTAAAATGACATGTCAATAAGATGAAGCTACCTGATTGGTTAGTATCCAATGTCATGGAATGGACATGCGGTAGTATTATTAAGTAGTAATTGAAAAAATATGTTAGAATTGAAGGTTTGGTGTTATTGACCATCAATATCTTTACTGTGATTTACATATGTAAATCTTAATATACATATTGGTAGAATCAAAATGATTCCACATGTAAGTTGTTACATGAGAATCGGTCACTTTTATAAAACAGACTATAGCCTTACCTGTAACAAGTGTCCATTGTTCTCCCCCTGTCATAACATTATCCTAAAAATACAGGAAATGTTTCTGCATATATACAACAGTATTAAAAGTGACATTGTATAAATCTCAAGATAACAATGTTTAATGTCACAATTCATAAAGTAAAGAAATGAGGGTATGATACAGTGAGAACTGGCAATGTTCTATTATATATAGGGAGTATACAACAGTAACAAACGATCAACTTTTAATTATAATCCATACACGTGTAGTACAATATTGAATAGGATGTGTAATATTTAAAACATAAATCTATTTAACCTAAAACGATGGCATACTGTGTGAACATCTGATCTAAATACAACACCAGGTAACTGAGATATCTTTGTTAAAGTCGTATGCATCAAAAAGCAATATA